ACATTTTGGTTTCTTAAAATTCGATTTTATGAAAAACAAACAAAAATCCTTCGTTCAAGTCCTTGTCAATAGTATCACGAAGACGTGTAGCAAATTTCATGAATATCGGTTGAATAGTTTTCGAGAAATCTTGACAACCGATTTTAGAAAAAGCGTTTTGAGAAAAACGCGTTGAAAGATTTGAGTGGTGGTATAAGAGCCATTAAAGAGTGCAACTTCCCAAGGCTCTATCTTTAAAACTACTACTCCTATCGATTTCAAAATTGAATACAATATTCTATATGAGTTGTAGAATTCAAAACAATAAAAAATAATTTTGTTTGAAAGTCCCAAACCCATGTAACCCCTTAATGTGAAAAATGAAAATGAAAGAAACAAGTATAATATATAAAAGAAAACAAAAAAAGAAAATAGAAAGACGACATTTGTTTGTTAGCTGTTAGAAAATGGATTTTAACCGAATGATCCGTTTGCCCAGCAGGGAATACCCCGAGAAATCTACCTGACGTCTGATTGCGATACGGTAACCGCTGAGTTCGAGAATCGCAAGAATGTTATGTTTAGCCCTTATTATTATTATTATTTTATTTTGGTGTGTTCTTTAGCTCGGTGTTGCATCATACGTATGGTATATATATACACACACACGTACTTACATGCATATATATATTCCGATAATTATGATAATAATAATAATAATAATAATATAATAACAACAACGACAACAACAACGCGCGTTTAAGAAGGGGGGAAGAAAAACAAATGATAGGAATGAATTTGTTACGATGATGCGCGTGTACGAAATTAAACAGGATGAAGTTAGCCTCGGTGTTTACGATGCGCGCGCACACAACGATATGAAATTAACAGCATGAAGTTAGCCGCGTCATAGCGTATATGTTCACGCGTAACAACATATATGTTTTATATACGCCAAAGAAGAATATTATAACTTCTTACGTGCGTACATAAGTATATAAGTATCCGTGTTGTTTTTTATTTTTTTTTTTTGGGTTACTGTCAGCTTCTTTAATACCGTCATAATTATCGGCATATTTATATATATATATATACATTTGATAATGTGCTCCCATAGCCGCCTGCAGCTCTCTGCACGATCGTGTACGCGCGATGCTGTTGTCAACGCGTAGGTGAGCTCGATACGTCATTTTTTTTGTTCATTGCTCTCTCTCTTTCTCACACAAATTTCCCTTTTTCGTTTTCCCCTTTTTCGATACTGCCAATGTCTATATGTATTTTATATAATGTATGAATCATTATGAAACAAAACAAAATATATCATATTATTATATAAGTCTCAAAGGGAATTATAGACGGTTAATAAATCTGATGAACAATTTATTTTGAACTAGTTCAAGTATATTGTATATATATAGTAGTTAATAAATCTAATGAACAATTTATTTTCAACTAGTTCAAGTATATTGTATATATATAGTAGTTCAAAATAAATTGTTCATCAGATTTATTAACCGTCTATAATTCCCTTTGAGACTTATATATTAATATATTTTTTGGACAAGAATATTGATAATTA